ATGTCATGGTGAGAAATAACCTAAATAAATTTAATAATTTCATATTTATTTAATGTATGTTTTATCATATATCTAAATTGTCAATTTCTGAACTTTAGAGTTTATAGAAAAATGTATTTTAATTTTCTTTACTATTATTTTGGCTGTTTTCTTATTGATAAAGATAAGTAATAGTCGAATATATAAATTTCTATACATTTTCTTGTTTATGTATATATATATGTGTTTTATTTTGGATATTTTTAATGGATTTTAAACTTTATACTTTATTTATTTTGTTTGTAATTTACACCACTACATTTGCATTTAGTCAAGTTAATTACCCTTTGGGTATTGGACCTATTAAGTTTCAAAATTATGATGGAATAAATCAATTTCCAAATTCTATTGCATACACCTTGCTAAAATCAGCTATTGCTGACTTGATTCATGAGTTTGGTAAGAAAATGGCAATTCTTGGACCAGATGTAAGTCTTAACTATAATATTAACCTTGGTGGTAAAGTAATCAATATATCTTCTTATAAAATTATTGTCCGAATGTGGATTGGTAAATGTACTATTGATGATAACCGTGACTTAAAGCAAGTATTTATAATAAGAGCTTTAGGTGACATCAGTTCAAAACTTTTAAATGAAGTCTTAAAAAATGGATGGAAAAGTTTGGAAGCATATGTTGGGCCTATATATATAGAATATAAAACAATTGATTTAAATAGACATGATGAACTTTCACAATCCAAGTTACCCTTTAATTTTGAAGGTAATCATGGCATATGTAACACTTTTAGAAGCTCATTAGTTAATGGTCCAAAAGTTAAAGGTTCTACATTAGCACCTGGAGAATTTTTATCCGCCAAAGAATTTACTGCTATTATGCAATTTGATTGCAACTTTGTTTTATATAATAAAAGAAAAATAAATTGGGCTAGCAACACTATAAACAAAGGTAAAAGTTGCTATCTACATTTTCAACTAGATGGCAATTTAGTAATCAAAGACATCAGTAATACTCCAATCTAGGCACTCAATCTCTACTGCCAGCCACAACCTCATTGCATAGTTAACGCAAAGCTCATTCTTGAAGGATATGGTAATCTGGTACTCTATGGTTATCAATTGAGCAATGGCGCATCTTATGTGGCATGGGATGCTATTACTAATGGCTGAAATCCTTTCAGAAATGTTAACTAACTAATTATATTTTATCTAAGCCGGGTAACTGTTGCACTGGAGCCATGGCTTCTTTCTTTTCTTTATCTTCTAGAGATTAGATCATTCACTGATCCTTGTGTTTTTTTGTGCCTCTCTACGCTCGCCGCTCCATCCATCGATTCTTCGCAATCTATGTTTTCATTCCACCGAAACGTCACGGGCTCGATGCCCTGTCCCCAACGATACAAAAGGTCCAAATACAGGGAAGAAATGGAGGAGCTCGTGATGCGGCATCGACTACGCTCATGCCAAGACAATGGATCTCCAGAGCGGAGAGAATGCAGGTGAGAGGGGTGAAGGGGAACAGGATAGAGCTGAGGGTGGCTTCGGAAGTGGTGATGTCCACCGTCGAGGTCCGTGATCGCTTGCTAGCTGGGAAAGAGCGATGGAGGCCAAATTCTAAGCGGTGCGAGGAAAATCGCCGAAGTGAAGGGAATCGTCGACGATGATGACGAAGATACGCTCTTGCTTCTCAAGGAACTGTTATCAAGGATTAATTCCGAGGTATGTCTCCTTTCATCCTTTCAGGTTTATTTTTTCATCTTTTTTCCCTGGTGGATTCTCTACTTGCAGGCTTATGTTCTAAAGTTGTCTCCGTGATCTTTACTGAAAGAATATTGGCTGTGAACTTTGTGACAATTGCAGGAACTCAACATTAACTTTGTGGCAATACTGGAGATAATGGAGGTAGCTTTCTAGGTTCGAGTTGTCACTTAATTCTCTTGAAAGGTACTTGGCCTGCTCGATGGCTTCCTTGGACGTTTCACAGATAATTTGTGTAAACTGTTGGTTCTCTTAGTCTACTCTGCTACTGTCGTGAGAGTGGAGCAAGACAGTGACCGTGCAGTACTAATGATCACTAGAGACGAGTAAGTTTCTCCTTTTTGTGTGTGTGATGGTGTGTTAGTCTGTGATTTTTGTGAATTCCATTGAAACCAGGAAAATCAGTCATCAAAAAGCACTGGACTTGGTAAAGTTTACCAACGAGCATCTTGTACACCACTAGAAAGTATGGATGCTAAAGCTGGGTAGGTCGATTTGGCCAAGGCTTGCCGATATGATAATCCAGAATCACTTACACAAGGTGACAGTTCTTTGGTGATCCTGGTGGAGACTGACCTTTTGCATTGTGTTGCAGGCATCATTCTGAACAGATTAAAATCCTTATGTCAGAATTTGAAGAAGCTCTTGAAGCCGAAAACATTGTCACTGTAGGTGGACTACTTAGCAACTTCACAGCCGATGTCGAGATTCATATTTCTGGCTAAAGCTCGAGACATTATCATAAGTTTTGATTATCGTTTGTTTCTGGTGAGTTCATTCACTGTTATATCCTACCTTCCAAAACAGTTTCTACCCATTGTACAGGAGACATTGAAGGTATACTTTTATTTTCTCTCCTTGAATTAGTGCTGTGTTATAGGATGCTTGCTCATCGATACCAAGACTAGCTTTGGAGCTTTATAAAGTCGCCCGAGACGTTGTGCTGCTCTACCGAGCAGCAGCACCAGTATTTACAATGACTGCCTCTAGATTGCACATGAGTTGACGACTTACTCCCAGCAGGTTTGTGGGCACTGCATGTCGATCTGCAACAGTCATGCACTTCGATGGACCTCGTTAAGCCATGGGATACAATATGCTTTCGACACATGCTAAGATGATAAACAATCAGCTCCTGCAGGTTCGTTTGTAAAAGAAAAAAAAAAGAAAGAATGCTATTCAGCTTTCACGGGCTCTTCTCTCATCCGTAGATTTGAATGTCTAGAACCTACAAACAAGTCATATCTGAAAGGCGCAGTCTGCACTGCAACAGGTACAGTTTCTGTCAAAGATAGACTTTGCTGGAACTTCCTTTCGCATCAATCTTTAGATCTACGCACAACGTCTGGCAAGAATTTCTACCCAGCAGTTTTCAAGTGAAGCAGTTGACAATGCTGGCTGATTCAATTATTAGCAGAATTGTTTATGAAGTTCTGTCTATCAAAGACATGGCTGCCGAAGAAACTGTTCAGGTAAACAAAGTCTGGGTGGTGTAATCAGTTTTACAATCACTTCATGCAGTTGCACAACTTACTGGACGAGCTGATACTGGACTTGGGCTCGGTGCTGGCTTCTGTCGAGAAACATAGCAGGAAATCACTCGACATCCTTGTACCGTCGTGGAGAAAACTAAAACGCTTATCTGGTAACGCCAGTGTTTCTCGTCTTGGCTGACATGGAAAAACTTGTTCCAGAGTTATTGGAGATGTTCTTGAGGCCCATCACGAAAGCATGGGAGAGTGGAATTCTCCCGTCGGCAGGATTCTCGCCAGCCGAGGTGGGTGTAGAATGGAATTTTCCTAAAGCGATATTTGCTTTTTTGGTCAGGTCCAGAGCTTGATCAAGGCGATATTCACGGACACGTCGTTGAGAGCGGAGTGCCTTGAAGGAATAGTTTGATCAGCATGCTTCGGGGTCGTTGGTCTGGCGTTCCAGTGCGGGTCAAATTTCCTAACAGGTTTGTGAGTTTTTCTTTCAGCGAGAAGCACATGTGGGTGTATGCTTACTACTGCTTTACACGCCTTGGATACATCCATAGGTACTCTTGGCGTTTAGGGAACTGGCAAATCTTTTTCTTTTGGCAACAAAGTGGCCTTAGTTTTTGGAGGGTCTTGCAGCACCCAAGTGAGGCACTCGATTCTTCGTCTTTTAAAAATGAAAGCTATCGAGCTCACCACTGGTTTATCTTGTCTTAGTGTAAAATCTAAAAAACTAGATAGTACTTTTCATCCTCTGGGAAAAATGTTACCAGTTTTCTTATATGGGTGTTAAATTCTCTTTGTGTGTTATGTTTGTAATATTTTCCCTCCACACCAGAAGTAATGCTGAAAATGCAAAATTTCTAAATACAAGCTTTAGTATTCATGAAAATGACTATATTGTCTTTAGAAATTTTGATGGAGAAAAAGAATTTCCAATATCTATTGCATATGATTTATTGGGATTTACTATTGCAAGTTTAATTCAAGAATTTGGTAAGAAAATGGCAGGATCAAATGTAAGTCTGATGTATAATATAAATCTTGGGGGTAAAATTGTCAATTTGGAACCATATAAGCTTATTGTACGAATGTGGATTGGCAAATGTACCATTTCAAATCAGCAATATTTGAGACAACATTTTATAATTAAATCCTTAGGGAGTATTCGTTTAGCCCTGTTAAATGAAGTTTTGAAAAATGGATACACAAGCCTAGAAGCATATTTAGGACCTATATTTATAGAATACAAGCTAATTAATACCAACAAACATGAAGAGCTTCATGATTTTATAGATCAAGCTATAAGCCAAAATACATGTAGTGCTTATTTGGTAAATGGTCCAAAAGTTAAAGGTTCTATTTTACCACCTAGAGGTTCATTGATAGTTAATGAGTATTTGTTTGTTATGCAAATGGATTGTAATCTTGTCCTCTATAATATGAAATATAACAAGGCAACATGGGCAAGTAATACTATGAATGAAGGTAAAATTTGCTATTTACATTTTCAGTTAGATGGCAATCTTGTAATAAAAAATGCAATGGACAGTCCTATTTGGGCACTTAATATTTATTGTCAGCCCCAGCCTCATTGTATAACTAATTCTAAACTTATACTTGAAAGTTATGGAAATCTTGTTTTATATGGTTATAATCTAGATAATGGAAAAGCTTATGTTTTATGGGATGCTATAACTAATGGTTAAATTTTTAGTTTTATTTTCTTTGATAAAATTTATTTAGTAGATCTTATTATAAATTTTTATTCCTATTTCAATATCTAAAGGTAAAACTTCCAAGAACTCTTATTATTATAATAATGTTATCCTTTTGTTATAAACAAACTTAAAAGAGTATAAATAATCTAAATAATCATAGTTCCAAAGAGTAGTTATAATAAATAGTTTGGGATACTTTATAGAAATTAAAAAATGATAAATAAATTATGTTCTTAAAAATCCATTATAAATATATCTAAAATAGCTATATTTATAAAAAACAAGAAAATGTATAAGTTAAACTCTGTTTTATCTTATTAAGACAAAATAAAAAAAATTATAATATCTGTAAATACATGTATATACATATATATAGTACCCTATAAAGGTATAATACTCTAGCATATGAACTGATCCTTTCATTCTTATATATAAGGAAGTTAAACCCCTATAGTTTGAGCACTCATATTTGTGGAGGTGAAAGGTAAACCTTTATTGGCAATGCTTTGCTCTAATGTTTGAGATTGTGCTTTTTGTTTATTTATTTAAAAACTTCTTCTTATTTCTCATTGTAGTCCCTTTTATTATATTTCTAATATATTTAATATTTCCTTCTTCTATCACATTGATCAGCTTTGACTCTTATGATTCTCATTATAAATCTAGTGTTGAGTTGAGTGTTCTCTATCCTCTTAATATTGATCTATGTGTGGCTGAGAGTCTTTAATCATTTATTCATTTAATATCATGCGTGATCATATCACAATAATAAATATGAAATAATAAGTGGATAATATTTATACCATATGTTTTATTCTTATAATTGTTAATATTTTCTATGTGATATTTTACTATGCACACTCGCTTATCATGCCTCATGTGTTAGTCCTGTTTTGGTCTAATGTGCTATTTATAGTAAGTATCTAAATCATCTTGAGTAAGGCTTTTTTTGCCTATATTCATGTTCTCACCCTTGTCTACAAAATAGTGATAAATAAATAGAGATGAGAAAGTAAAAAGGAGAAAAGAAGAAGAGAAATGAGAAGAGAATAGAAGATAATTTAGCCACAAACCCCAAAGGCATCAGTAAAAATAAGCATATATCACTCTTTGAACTCTACTTTGCACAAACAATCATAAATAGAAGAAAAGATGATTAATTCAATGTAAATGCATACAACAGTGAGTGGGGGTTATTTTTCAACACATCTAAGTATTATTTATATACTATATGATTTTATAACTATTCCTAATTGTTTTTCGCCTAGATCAAGCTTTTTTTCTTTGGATGCTTAACCTTATGTAGAATTCCATTTTGCCTAAGGTTTTTTCTTTTGCTCTACCCAAGAAGATATACAACATAAAACATTTACCTCTTCATCACTCCCCCACGACAATCTATTGCCTATCCTTAGGCAGTTAGATTTCCAAATCCTGCTCCAAGTTGCTGAGATTGGCCTTCATAGTGACAAGCTCGACTCTTCGGCATAGATCATCGAGTTCCTGACGCATGATCTGATTCTCCTAGTCAAGCATGGCAATATGCTAGTCCTAGTAGATGATGTGCTTTACATTGGTGGAAGTCGGGATTGCACTCTTGAGCTCTTGGATTATATGGTGTTAATAATTCTACTCACCTATGATTCCATCCACTTTCTTAGTGATTGTTTTGAGGTAGCTCAAGACTTGCATGCAGTACTTTGTAGTTTTCTCATCTTTTACCAGTTGCATTGGCTCGTTAACTGGCTGCTTGCTTCCCTTGATGTGTTGAGTGAGCTCCTCCATGAAGCTTTTTACTGCTAGCTCACTAGGCTGACTTGCAGACTTATGCATGAAGGCATAGATAGCCTTGACTTTATAGTGCTGCTGCAACATTTGTTGCTATTGTGGCTGCCTCATCTCGCTGACTTGTTAGTTAAGGGTGTGTCATTGTCGGATGCATAGGTGGATTGGAGAAAATTTAACTTGTACTCCTCTAGTTCAATTAAACTCTCTTTTGTAGCCTTGTCCTTTTTATCCTATTGAATTTCTTGGCTTAAACTCACATCATTGGTTGTATCTACAGCCAATGGTTTTGCAACATCTATAGGCATATTGTATGTTGGACCTTGTGGCCTAAGTTCTGGAATTTCTTTCACAACTTCAGCATTTATCATTCACCTAGTGTTGTCCATTTGTGTACTTGTCACTTCTCCAATGCTCAGAGAGATTTGTATGGGCATCAGAGTTGTTTTTGTTGACATAAATGAGTCATGACTCCTTTTTTACTATGGGCATGGCATTTTATTATTGCATCAAGCTTTTCCACGTGATACTCAGCCACTAGATTTCTATGGAACGAACCCTAGAGGTCTTGCAACTTGAATTTCTGGATCTAGGTGGAATTTCTTTTTGAGGGGAGAATTTTCCTCACTTAAATCTATATCGTTTAGATTCTCCTTCACTTCCACATCCTTTGCTATCTCCCTTGGAGGACATATTGGAGGTGGTGGCTCAATGGCAAGGTAAATTGCAAGATCCTCCTAAATGGTGTAACATTTGTAAATGCACCGCAAAGATGAAGACTCCTATTTTCACTTGCCTTCCCTTGTCTATTTGTAAGGCAATATTTTTCATTTCAACCACAAATCCATTGTAAGCAAAATGAGTTATGTTTATTTGTTGTCCAATTTTGATAGCTTCCAACAAGCGGGATATTTTGATGCTAACATTTTGTGCAACTGTCCTCCCGTTGATGATAGCACACAACACTTTAAGTCTAGCATGATAGTTGAGCTTCAAGTAGGTGAAATTACCTCTTTGTCTAGATGTGTAGTTTGGGAGGATATATTGTTTAGGCATGTGATTCTTTTTGCTCATCGTGATTATTTTGCCTTTGTTGTCTAGGTAAAAAATCTAAGCAAACTGGGTGAGTCCAAAGGGATGGACTCGCCTGCGAAAAAGAAAAACATACTTCTTTGAGTACCACTTCTATATAAGCTTTATCCCTTGATTGATATTTCTCCTTCGAACAACTTTGCATAGGCAAGTAATCTAAAGGCATTAAGCCAAAACTTGTTATAGAGAGAAAGCACGAACTCTCTAGACAGCTTTACTTAGCCATAACCTAGCTCCTCATCACTAGATAAAATTTCCTCCACATATTCATTTTGCATAGGCATTTTTGCCGTCCCTGGAGATTTGTAGGCAAAACACTCAATGTTAGGGAACTAAGAGATGTAGTGCAGTGCCAATGGAGGTGCCTAAGCAAATAAATAAAAATAAAAAATAAATTTTTTTTTTTTTCCTAAAGGTTTGTTCTAAATGAACAGATCTCTACCTGAGCTTATCAAGAAATACTACTTCTTCTATCTAATTTCATTGATCTAGCTCTATGGGGAGATAGAAAACTTGGAAACAAGATCTTGAGTAATTTTAATATCCCCTCCATCCATTTTAAAAGCTAATTTTATAGGATCCCATAATTGAAGAACTAATTTACCTTCTTGTGGTTTTATAAAGTTTGATGTC